TCTGATTTTTTTTTTCTCTAAACTAACTTTGGTTACTGTTTTTCCTTCTATATTCTCTGTTAGAAAATGTTCCTTAAACACAACCAATGTCATTGTTCACTGCCTCTTAGTTTGTTATATTTCCGTTCTTTTGAACCTTTTCCAGATGTTAAAAGCAACGACGTGGAAAAAAACATGTTAATTTTTATGTTTTTGCCAGATTAATAAGTTATATTAATAATAATTTCTGGATTTTCTGCTCTACATCTTTCATTGTCTTCTTTTTTAAGACTTTAATCTGGTATCAGCTAAATATAACGTTTTATATTTTTCAATTGGTTAAGTTGGAGAAAAATTATGTTCATTCACATCTAAATCCCCCCCCACAGGAATCCCAGTCATGTACTGTTTACTAGAGGTGGTCTCTGTCTGCCCAGACAAACTCGCCCCCAGATTTGCTGATAAAATCGACTGGATTAAAGTGAGTTTTATCACATCCATGTTACTTTTAAGTTCATCCAACGGTTCTTTTCTTGAATCAGAGCTGTAATTTGAGTTTTTCTGTTTGCCAAACTGGCTGTAATCACGTGTTTTGTTTTTATTGTTCTTTTAAGAGTTTGATGAACACAAATAAGGAGGACATGAGGGAACTCGCCGCCCAGCTGTATGCCGTGGTGATCTCCACCATGACTGGCAATGAGCTGCAGACAGCCGTTCAGAATCTGGTCAAAATCACTAAAGACAACCATGTATGCTGTGCTGTCTCATGTTTATCGGCTCTTCGAGCTTTGGTCATTTATCCAGTGTTAACGTTTGTTTTCTGGGTTATACCTCAGAGTCCTGAGACTCAGCATGGCGCCATCTTGGCTCTGGGCTACATGGTGGGAAGGAATCTGAGCAGAAAGAAAGCCATGGAGGAAGAGAGGAGCATCACTTCCCAGGATGATGACAAGCTAGTTTCCTTGGCGACTAAGACAATTGGTATGTTTTTACTTTTAAATAAATGTTTTCGTTGTAAATTTTATTGAAGTACAGTTAAAAGTATTTCTTATTTGTAACATTTAATCTGCCTTTTGCTGCAGAAACGTTGTTGTATAATCTTTGATGTGTTCTTCAGTCAACTGAATGCTTGTATTTTCACCCAGGCTCCTTCCTGGACAGCAGCAGCGCCATGTTGGCCGTAGCAGCCTGCACCTCTCTGGGAGAGATCGGGCGGAATGGCCCCCTGCTGATCCCTGCAGAGGGAGAGGGCTTGACCAAACTGTCCATCGTGGAGAACCTGCTGGCTCGCATCACTTCTGGCAAAGAGAGCTTAAAGGTGAACTGTGAGCTCCAGTATCTCCGATTGGCTGCCGCGTTACACTCATTGATTAAACTGTGCTATTTTCATGCTTTCCAGATGAAGGAGCGCTCCATTACAACCCTGGGTTATCTTCCAGTGGGAGACGCAGACTTCCCACATCAGAAGAAGCTGCTGCAGGGCTTGATGGACTCGGTGGAGGTAGGAAACATGCTGAATAACAGCCGCATTGGGCGTCCACAGGACATGCTTTTAAAATATCAAGGGGGCTGACTTTTAACTTGACTAGAGAAGAACCCATTTCAATGGGTTCTAAAAGGAATGCTGAGCTGGTCTTGGATAAAGCCTAATATGCAGATATTCTGCTTTTTACACCACGTTTGAAATAAAGCGAGTGGAACTTGTCCTGTTTCTGTGAATCTGGGGCCTCCATGTTTTTCTTTCTCATCTTAAACCCACTTTGGATTAAAAATGTAAACGTGCCTCTCAGCTTTACAGATCAAACGTACACTTCTCTCATGTCATCTTCAAAACTACCACTTTAGCTAGTAAACGGACAGCTTAAATATAACAAAAAAAGGTCTGGAAAACTGGATTTTAAAAACTTTGAGATATCCAAACTGATTTATTTCTCTATAAAGCTGCAGCTGAAAAGTGATTTTAACTAATAGATGTCAGTCATACCTGTATCTGGTTCTACTGAACCTTCTATGAAGGGACCCAATAGTTTAATTACACTTATATCTTGCAGGCGAAGCAGGTAGAGCTGCAGTTCACAGTTGGAGAAGCCATCACCAGCGCCGCTATAGGAACCTGCTCTGGAGCCGCCCGGGACCCATGGACCTGCACAGAGGACCAGTACAGCCCACAACACAGTGAGTGCTTACAGATGTGTTACACTGAATG